TGATACCAAAAGCAGCAGTTACAACTACAAGTATACTTATTCAGTTGAAATTTGCCCAGTTTGCCGTGAGGACTTGATTTGTCTTCCGCCAAAAGTTAAAGATGGTTTGGGGAATCTAGGGCCACTTGTGATCTGCACCAAGGTGAGTAATAACATTGCTTTACTTGACCCATTTACTCTCAGGAACTGTTTTCTGGACGCGGAACAGTATTGGAGGGCGTCTTTTAGGTCCCTACTTTCGAGTAGGCAGCTTGTGGAATATATAGTTCTAGATGTTGAGAGTGTTTCTTCTGAGGTCAATGTTGGTTGGATCTAAGTACGCTTTGGCAGATGCCCAAGTAGCTCGTGTATCTGATTTTGGCAAGAATGATACAATTTTCAATGTACGAACACATCTGGGGCATCTTCTAAATCCTGGGGATTATGCACTTGGGTATGACTTATATGCTGCTAATAGTAATGATAATGAGCTGGACAAGTATAAAGTTTTTGTTCTCCCAGATGTGATACTGGTTAAGAAAAGCTATGAAGAGAAATGGCAGAAGAAGTGTGGGAAGCCTCGTTCATGGAAACTGAAATCTCTAAATATGGAGATTGATCTGATGACAATGTAAAGGGTAGAGACCATGAAGAGAAGATGAGCTCTGAGTATGAACAATTCTTAAGAGATTTAGAGGAGAATCCTGATTTGAGGTTCAACATATCTCTTTATCGCAACAGGGAGTATCAGCCATCAGAAATGGGATCTGTGACTGATGGGGATGATGCCCCTAGTGTCGCATTGGAGGAATTGTTGGCTGATCTTGATTTAAGTGAAGAGGAAGCTGACAATGATAGCATGAGGGAGTGAGTCGCCTGCGCGTTGTTTATTGGGGATGCTAAATTCTCTGATGAATTTCGTAAAGCTCAAGGAATCAGTTTTGTTTGGAGCAATTAGGTCCGGAGTCCGTTAGCTGTGATTTTGCTCCCTCATGTTTCTTCCTGTTATTCACCTTGAATGCAAACTACATAAATATGGTGACGAGTATCTCTCTTCTTCAGCACACAGCCATCTTTTCCCGAGTAGAAGTGAAGCGACTGCTTCTCAATGGAAGGAATGCATTTTGAAAGATTCAGTTAGATTGGCAGACGAAAAACCAAGTTGGAACAAACTATACTTTAAAATTTTCGTTTCTTTTATGGTGTGGATCTATGGCATGTTTAATTATTGTTCAATGATTTATTTATATGTTTTCTATAAACTACTTCTGTGTTGATGCTAAAAGCTTAAAATCTCTCTCTCACACACACACAGACACACACAGAGCACCTGCTGGAGTTGATTGACTGATTGGTCATGTTTGTCACAGTGAATGGGAATTGATATAAGGAACTGAAAATGGATGGTCGTGGCAATTTCCATTTATTGTTTCTTGCTTCCCTTGTGTTAGAGGCTGGATCCGTAATTTAATTCATCCACTGAGCTGACAACCGAGGAGAGGTGAGATATGAAGAGGGAGATTGAGGAGTCCTTCGCCATGAATATTGTGCTTCTACAGGGAGATAGATCGGGAAAAGGAGAGTATTATTAATTAGAATTTATTATTAAAGAAAAATAAAAGATCAAGGAATTTGAAAGGTTTGAACGATTTTCAGAAAGATTTGAAAGAAACATTGTCTCAGCATATGTTTTTCCACATAAAACCGACTCAAATGGAACCAAACACCATCCCTAGTAAACTCATAAGCTAGGTTTGAATGAACACTCGGCAAAATGTTTGACATAAAATAAAATATTTATGCCAAGAGTTGAAAGTAATTTCACAATGCCTGGTTGTGTGCGCGAAAGGCTTTAGTGTACAACAATAAAGAATAATACAATAATAAGAAGGTCGTATTGCTACAAATAGGTGCATTTCTGCTCTAAGTAACACCGCTTTTCCTATCATTCCGGTACGAAGGCCGCAGACTACAGCAACTGTTGCTTCAATAGCTACCCATTTCCAATCTATCCCACCATCTGCGTTGGATTTCCACAGCTCTACCTTCTTCAGCAGAAACTCGCATCAACTGCTGCTTCTGATTTTCTTGCATTCTGGTATGCTCTGAAGCCGTTGTGCAATTTCTTGACAGTTCCCCACATTCCATGTCGAACTCGATGCCCATATCTTCATAGTGAGTAAGCGTGACCTCGCATGCAGATAACTGTCCATCTCCTTTCTTCGATTCCACTACATCCATTTTAGCAGTGTAATCTTGAGTAAAAATCAACTTAAGTAACAGGCAATTGGAAATTTTGCAAAGTTAATCCTTGTTGAACACCCAGACCCAGTGTTAATGGCGCTACCTACCTACTCGGCTTAACAATCCAACTTGAGAAGTACAGGTCCACACGCCTAGGCAGCTTGTCACGTCTTTGCAGAGCTGGGTATATGGTACACTCTGTGGAAGATCATGTTAAAAATATGAGCATAATGTGTAATTACATGGTTTCTGAAAAATAGAGTTGTTAACAAACCAACTAAACAAGCCACCATGAGAAAGTGTAATATTGGAGATCTAACTTTGTCCAAGTACAGATAAATAAATATATGAACTTCATGGAAACTATTAAAGGGTTTTAGACACGGAAGCCTCGCAACTCCAAGAAGGCCTGAAATATGCTAGGTGGAAGCAGTAATAAAAAGAATCACTGTATGCACAGATCAATCACTTAAAACTTGTATTTGAAGCATCCAGAACAACCAAATTTACACGTGGTGCTGTAGCGCTAAACAAAATCAACTAGGGAGCGAACACCCTATGTTGGAAAAACGACTAGGGAGTAAAGACCCTATGTCTAAAATAAAATCAACTAGGGAGTGGAGACCCTATGTTGGAAAACAGACTAGGGAGTGGAGATCCTATATCTAAAATAACTTCAACTAGGGAGTGGAGACTCTATGTTGAAAAACGACTAGGGAGTGGATACCCTATGTCTAAAATAAAATCAACTAGGGAGTGGAGACCCTATGTTGTAAAAGCGACTAGGGAGTGGAGACTCTATGTCTAAAACAAAATCAACTAGGGAGTGGAGACCCTATGTTGGAAAAGTGACTAGGGAGTGGAGACCGTACGTCTAAAACAAAATCAACGAGGGAGTGGAGACCCTATGTCTAAAATAAAATCAAATAGGGAGTGAAGACCCTATGTTGGAAAAACGACTAGGGAGTGGAGACCCTATGTCTAAAATAAAATCAACTAGGGAGTGAAGACCCTATGTTGGAAAATATCTAAAACAAAATCAACTAGGGAGTGAAGACCCTATGTTGGAAAAATGACTAGGGAGTGGAGACCCTATGTCTAAAATAAAATCAATTAGGGAGTGAAAACCCTATGTTGGAAAAAGAGACTAGGGAGTGGAGACCCTATGTTGGAAAAAAAGGCTAGGGAGTGGAGACCCAATGTCTAAAATAAAATCAACTAGGGAGTGAAGACCCTATGTTAGAAAATGCTGCTAGGGATTGGAGACCCTATACTACNAAGAGAATGAGTAAAATGCGGGAAAGAATTTGGAGAAAACTTCCCTTTTTGGGGTGGTTGTTGCCGCATAGCTATTTTAGTCTCCGCGCGGTTTCCTTTTAGTTGCACCTGCTTCTTGTAAGGTTGTTTTGGATTGCACCCGTTTCCTGTGGTTCAAACAAAGAACAATTTGTCAGTTTGAAATGGTGGTTAGTTTTGCGGCCTTGAGTGCTTCGGTCACTTGATATCGACCCGACTCCTTTGATGATGATTTCAACTATAACTTGTCGTTTCCTCGATGCCGATTGCATTTTTGACCCCGGAGAACTTTTGGCTTTTCCAAAACTTTACCATGACGGTTAGTCACGTGGGACTTAACGTTTTCAACTTTATTTTGTCTTCGTGGGCATTTGACTTTGATTTTCTTCTTTCAAGAGTTTTTGATTTCGAAGCATCAACCACCATGGCCAGTCGGAGTCGACTTGATGCTCCTGCCGAGGCTGGGTGCCTTTTTTGCATATTAGCTCGTATCAAATGAGAACCCTGTAAATAAGTCTTACCATCCCTTCTTTGTCTTAGCTTCGGAACAGAGTTGGACCGAAAGGGATTCAAAGAAAAACAAACAATGGAATGGACAATGAATTTAGACAAGAGGTATCTCTTTCGGGGAAAGGAAAGAAGGACTTATCTGGAATACATGCGGATTTCAATGAACATGACATGCCTTTTGGACTGGATGCCTGATCTGTGTAAACCATCCGACTCTCAGAACTTCATCACGACTCTTGCCTCGAAACCAAGAAACCTTACCCAAGACTGTGTCGATGCCAATGGCTGTGGGGATCCTCTTTTCGATCAATGGTGCCCTTTGCAGGTTTATGCCAGCTGACCTCTCTTATTTCTCTTCTCATCATCGTCTTATAGTGCTCTTTGCGAGTTTTCACTAACAAGACTAATTTTTGAATTTCTCTACTTACCATCGCCTTACGGCGCCCGTGAGGATTTTCACCAATAAGACTCTCTCGTTTTATTTCTCTCATTTGGTTGTATCAGATCCAAGTAACTGCATCCTCCAATTTTGAACATCTTTGCCGATTGATCGGAAGGACTTGAACAGGATTTGGGGTAAAAAGAATTTGGATTAAATTACAACTTTGGAACCTTTCAGGCGAAACCATCGCCGAACCATTATAACATGTGCCCCAGTTTCACTTTTTGGGGAATTTGGATTTTTGTTTTGGTGTGACTGAACCCCAGAGAGAGGCTGCCTACGTATCCTTTCGGAATCAAGTCGAACGTAGTTCAAGGAACTTTATTTTTGATTTTCTTTCGTTTTCTTTTTCTTCTGTTTTGTTTTGTTTTCTCTTTCTTTTTCCTTTACTTTTTCCTTTTTTTTTTCATTTTTTTAGTTTTCTTTTGTCTATATTATTTATTTATTTTTTCATATTTTTTTTCAATAACATTTTCAGGTTCCAAAGAGGATAATCAAAGAAAAGGTAACCGGTTCAAAGGGTTTGCAAATGGTTGATAGTGTTTGGAGTAGCGAGAATGAAATCCTTCGTCATCCCAATCAGAGAGCATTAAAGCTGCGTAAAAGGGTCAAACATAATACCTTTTGATCGCGTCTATATTGACAACTGGCACAGAGACATTTCGTTCAATATATCACAAATACAATGCTCCCTTTTGGCAGTACTCTTATTAAAATGTATGGACCTTTCCAATCTGGAGCTAATTTTCCTTTAAGTGTTCTGAGTCTTTGTTTTATTTCCTTAAACTAATCTTCATTATATTCTGAATCTTGATTCATTATTTCGAAGTTTGAAAGCGTTTTAGGATCTGAGCATGAAGTCGAAGCATGTCATGTCATTAAAATCTGCATTTAACATAACTAAAAAGAGAATAAGAAAATTGACAAGATTAAGAAAAGAGACATTCTTGGACAATGAAAATATTAATTTCATTTGTTTTTTTTTTTTTAATTTTTTTTTGATTTTTTTGTTTTTAAATTTTAAAGATAGAAGAATTTATATCGGAAAGTAAGACAATAACGTAAAACATCCGGATCATACCCTGAGATAATTAGGACGCAGAAATGATAGCAAGACTAGCTACCGAGACTCCCATCTGATAGGGAACTTTCAGGCTTGGCGACCATTTTTTGGCTTTTCTTCTGTCTCGGCAATGGCTGCAATGGCATTCAGTGCCGGATCAAATTCTTCATCTTCAAAAATTATTCCGACTACTCGCCTATTGGTGTGAGTAGGCAGAGGATTGTTCATCATATTAGGATCCTCTTCATCCCTAAGCACTATTACCTGGACCTCGATGAGGTCTTCCACTGCTCTTTTAAGAGTCCAACAGTCTTCAATATCATGTCCCACTTCTCCAGAGTGGTATTCACATCTAGCATCAGTTCGGTGCGAGGGGGACTCGAGGTTCGGCCGGTCGGGACCACTGGCTGCAGCAGACCTAGCCTGATTAGCTTTTGGAACAAGCTTGAATACGATTCACCAATAAGGATGAACTGATTCCTTCTGAGAGGCTCTCTTGGGCGAGGATTGTATTGGGGAACATTTGGTTGGAGATTATACGTAGCTTGGTAAGGATGTGCATTTTTGGGAGGTGGAGCTCAGTTTTGTGTATAATATTGTGGCCGCATGTAAGGCTGCGCGTTCGTCACCGCATACAGAAGCGGTGCCACGGCATAAGTAGCATCTTGACGGGGATAATAGTGTTGTGGGACCTTATGAAGCATGTATGATTGGTTGAATGACCTACGGGCCCCCCTCGAGCTGGAAACCATCATGGCTCCCTCTTCTCTCCCGTTTCTGTTCATCAAAGACTCCGAACCATTTTGAACGGCTTGTGATGTGGCCTTAAAAGCAACATGACTCAAGATTCGACCCGTTTTTAAATTGTGCCTATTGATTTTGACCACTTTCTTGCAATCTTTTTTAAATATTTTGAATTGCTAACTATTGCACCGGGCTAACTATTGTAACTTAAAGTTAGTCAACTTGGCCCTCGTACTCCAAACTACGTCACATAAAGTGAAACAGGGGGAGTAGTATACTGAGCTAGTAGAAATTTTAGACTGAGCCTAGGAATCTTTGCTTTGCTTTTCCTATTCAGCCTAATATAGTGTTAGAAGCCAACCAGCAACGGAGGCCAAACATTCATTATGCTAGAATGTTAATTTGTTGCGCACTGAAATAAAATGGAGTTTTAGTGGATTAATATAGCCAACCACAACTATTCTGGGATCGATTTGTACTAGTTATATTGTTGTTTTTCTAATTTTGCTTATGTAATGCTTTTATTAGGCTTTGAAAGATTTTGTATTTTAAAGTTGATACTAATCATAATGAGGTGCTACTTTTTCTGTTTTAGGATTTCCATCAACGAAGATTGGTGGTGGAACTCCAGTTTCAGTATCAAAACATTTTTTCTTTCAGAACGTTGCGAAATTCTGCACTTTGTTAGGTCAAGAGAGGGCAGATGATGAAGTATTAGATAACGTTGCTTCAGATGGTGATGATGCTTGTGACAATGTACCAGAGGACTTCAATGTTAAAGCTGTTGCTAGTCATACTGATGGTCGACCGCAAGCTAAACATCCCACTGAAGACTTGGTTGATTTTACACGGATTCATATTAACAAGCTGCCAACGGTTGTGATCATAGGACGACCTAATGTAGGGAAGTCAGCATTGTTTAAACGATAAGTACAGCAACGAACATTTGAATTTGATTTGTAATCAAGTGCANAATCAAGTGCGAGGGAACACTTCAGTCATCGTTGTGTAATCGTTAATCTGCTTTTGATTTGTAGATTGATACGAAGGAGGGAGGCCCTTGTATACAACACTCCTACTGACCATGTTACCCGGGACATACGAGAAGGTGTTGCAAAACTGGGCAATTTAAGGTTTAAGGTGTTGGATTCTGCTGGCTTAGAAGCAGGGGCTTCTTCTGGTTCTGTTCTTCGTAGAACAACAGAAATGACTGGAAATGTGCTGTCAAGATCTCAACTTGCGCTCTTCTTAGTTGATACAAGGTTGAAAATAATTTTAGTATATGAAAATACGAAATCTTGGTTTCTTCAATACTATCTTTTCTCTTCTCTGTTGATTATCAGATAGATAATTACGGTAACTCTTTTTTCCTTTTCCAATAAATTACTTATAAAGAAGGAAAAAGATAGAATTTTTTGAAGAATAGGACAAAGAATATGTAAATTTCACAAGAAATTTAACTTCATTCATTGTTCTAAAGGTGCATGAGTTGGCTGCAATAGATGAGATTTCTTATTGTCTAATTGAAAAAGGATGAAAAATCTGCTGAAAAGGTACTATTTGCTAAAGTAAAGCATATTTAATCACATTATCACACACCTCAAAGCTGGTAGCTTGTGAAACTCAAACTTTGCGTACTGTATTACAAAAATNGTATTACAAAAACTTTCTGGATGCAAAAATTAACTATCCTTTTGTATTGTGACTAGAAGGACTGCAGCCTATGGATTTGGATGTTGGAAAGTGGTTGAGGAAGAATGCACCTGGAATGAAGACTATTGTGGTGATGAATAAAGCTGAATCGCTTGATGACTATGATGGTTCTCTTGCAGCTGCTGTCGGTGAATCTTATACCTTAGGATTTGGTGATCCCATTGCTTTATCTGCTGAAACTGGAATGGGCATGGCTGAACTTCATGAAACTCTTCGACCATTACTTGAAGAATATGTGCTCCAAAACGTAAATGGTAAGAAACTCATGCCCCAGAGAGAATTTTCGTGCTTGGTAATTATCCACCTTTATCTGAATCTTCTGGTCCTTTTCAAGGTTTTATTTCAGAGGAGTTTTTGTTGAAATTGTCAAAAGTCCCACATCGGTGGTAGAAATTTTTGACGGGTCAGGACATTTTGGGATGTGGCAAGGCGAGGTTCTAGATGTTCTTTTTCAACAAGGGCTAGATCTTGCCATTGAAGAAAAGAAGCCAGATGTTATTGGAGAAGAAGATTGAAAAATTATCAATCGTGTTGCTTGCGGTACCATTCGATCCTACCTTGCTAGAGAGCAGAAATATCCATACACAAAGAAAACTTCTGCAAGTAAATTATGAAAAGCACTGGAGGATAAATTTTTGAAGAAAAATAGTCAAAATAAATTGTACATGAAGAAGAGACTGTTTCGCTTCACCTATGTTCCTGGT